TGTGTGTGTGTATGTGTGTGTGTGATGGTGATAGTGATGGTGATGGTGAACATGACATATACATGGAATGTAGCATAATATATACAAATACAGGCCAGCTTTTCTCAGAGCCAGCAGCCCCAGACAGCCACCTGCAGAAACAAACGGTCAACTTCCTCTCCTTTTTCATTAGTTCACAAACATGGCTGCGAGAGACACACAGTCAGAAACTACGACGACCAAAACAGCCACAGCAACAGAAACTACAGCGCCGCCAACAGCAGCAACAGCAGCGGCAACAGCAGCAGCAACAACGACAACAACAACAACAATAACAACAACAACAACAACAACAACAACAACAACAACAACGACAACAACAGCAACAACAACAACAACAACGACAACAACAACAACTAACCACAGCCTCCTCCTCCTCCTGTTCCTCCTCTGCTGCCGTCAACTCCTGTGCGTTTGCCAGATTGTCCACGGCGATGGCCAGGAACACGTTGAGCAAAGTGTCTGGTGGACAGTGGTCAAGGATTCCACACCACATCACACAACATCCCCATCGGCGCCTATTTCCGTGTACTATCATTATAGAGTTTTACGACACTTGCTCGTATTGGAACAGAAATGCCTTGTTAAAAAACTCATAGCCTTCCATTAAATAACAATCTCTATCGGGGGAAATAATTAACAAATTCACCCCTATGTGTAAGGTGTAACTCTCATGAAATTGAAGATGAAACTCGCTTTATTTTCTATTGTTCACACTTTGTCCATCAAAGGAAATTGTGAATCTCTCCCAGCCTGACTCGGCCCGGTGACAGAAATTTGCAATGTTTGACTCATGATAAGACATATGTGCACAACCTGTACTTATTCATTATGGAAACTTTACTTATCCAATGAGTGTTTTGTGTGATGTGATGTGGGCCAATGGCCTTAAACACTGGATACACTGACTGACGGCACTTGCAACACAAATAAGTTCTACAATGGCGTTCAAAAGAAACTCGGGAATGTAATCACGGACCATCGTGCTAAAGCTTTGTACTAATGACTGGAGGATTTTGTCTGTGCAATCAACAACATTTTGTTATGATAGTCTCAAACAGATTGGAAAACAGACCATTACAAAAACTTGGACTTGAGATTAAATGTGACCATTATTATTGTGTGTAGGAGTCACTGGTTTTGGGTAGGGCTCGAATCCTTTGGGCATGGACTCCGTGGGTGTGTGTGTGCGTGTGTATGTGTGTGTGTGTGTGTGTGTGTGTGTGTGTGTGTGTGTGTGTGTGTGTGAGTGTATACATATTGCGCGTATGTGCATAATATGTGTACAATTTGCGTGTGAGTGAGTTAAAAGATTAGAGCGGTCGTCAGAAACTGCAGCTCAAAAAGAATAATACATGTACCTAACTAATCAAAACTCCAACATTACTTTCTATACATAATTAGTTAGCTTTATATAATTATTCTTCATTCCTTCCAACAGTCCCAAAAACAAACCTTCGACAAACATCTCTAAGTGTCTAAGTGTCTAAGTACACGAACTAATCGAAACCTAAACCATCTTCCCCGGGACAGAGCTATCGTGTCGTGTTGTCAACGCCACATCTGGGCAACCGGAAACGAAGCACCCCCGGAAGTAAGGATTAACAGCAGTATGAAAACCGCCAATGGTTAGCCTTCTTGTCAGAGCGAGCATTGTTCTGTCCCCTCTTGGTTGGACTGGTTCGCCCCCGCTCCGCCACGCCAGCTTAGGAGAAAGACAACACTGTCTACTGATTGATTGGATGTGTTTTACGCCTTCATCGACACGATTTAGAGCATTTGGTCGCTATTAACATTTTGCCATCATATTTTGAGGAAAATTCAAAGAAAATGGGCGGTAAACATTATTACCAATAAGCAAGATGAGCGGGCTAACCCAGAGTTTAGGGTTTTCCAGAAATCTTGACCTACATCAAGAGTAGGCATTGCTCTACCAGGCGCGGGTCGTCCATAGAGCACGGTCGTGCAGTGCCGCCCAAAATGTTTTATTGTTCTATGACGTAAAACACCAACACAAGTAAAATACAAGACGCCAGAAACAAACACTAACCAAACACACATATCAAAACAAGGTCCTCGCTGGCGCCGTAACTGTCATCCCTGTGTCTATGGCGTGGTAAAACATCTATCATGCCATGACAAAGTTCATGCGCTGTCTCTAAACATATCAAGATATTCAACGGTGGAAACCTGACCTATAAATCGC